ACAATGAGGTTGGAGGCTGTAGGTGGGAGGTCACCTGAGGTGATGAGGTTGTGGATAGTTTGGGAGATGATGTTTTGGTGGTCGGGGGTGGGGTCATGATCAAGGGGCCAGTAGGAGGAGGTGTTGGAGAGTTGGCCCCTGGCCTCAGCGATGTAGAGGTCAGTGCGCCATACTACAACTGTGCCTCCCTTGTCTGCGGGTTTTATGGTGAAGTTGGGATTGGAGTGGAGGGAGCGGAGGGCTGCACATTCCATGGGGGAGAGGTTGGAGTGAGTGAGAGGGGTGGAGAGGTTGAGGCGATTGATGTCTTGACGGCAGTTGGAGATGGAGGGTAGGAGGCCTTGGGGTGGTGTCCAGGAGGAGGGGGCGTGTTGGAGGCGGGAGAAGGGGTCAGTAGAGGGAGGGTTAGGCTCACGGTTAAAGAAGTAAGCGCGGAGGCGGAGGTGGCGGAAAAACTGTTCAACGTCCAAGCATGAGCGGTATTCGTTGATGTTAGGGTGGAGGGGGACAAAGGTGAGCCCTTTACTGAGGACTGACTGTTCGTCCTCAGTAAGGGGTAGGTCTGGGGGGATGGTGAAGACTCGGCAGGGCTGGGTGATACTGACTCCTCTGAAGCTGCTGACTGTGGAGGTGGTGGGCGCAGCGACGGCATTGGGCGGAGCGATGTCGGTGATGGGCGGAGTGATGTCGGCGTCGGTGGTGGGCTGTGCACCGTCGGCGTTGATGGTGGGCTGAGCGGAGTAGGCGGTGGGAGGAGCGGAGCGGAGCGGTAAGTCCTGGATGTTGGTTGCGGCGGCAGCAGCGGTGTCAGCAGGTGCGTCCTCGATATCTGTGGTGTTGGCCTCGGAAACGGAGGCGGTAGCATCAGCAGCGGTGTCGATGGCATTCACTGTCCGGAAATGGTGTACCCAGCGGCAGCGGATGTGACGTCATCCGTGGGTGCTCCGACAGTGGCCAAATGGCCAATGACAGCGGGCACATTGTGGGGAAGGTCCTGGGTAGGGTTGGGGATTTGGGGGATGGAGGAGGCCTGTTTTGGGTGGCAGGCACCAGTAAGTTTAGTATACTTACGGTTTTTAGTGTCCAATAAAGCCAAGTGGAATTGTGAGTTCAGGTTGTGGATCCTGCGAAGAATGAAAAACAGGAGAGGTCCTTTGCAGGCCTGGGAGAAGGAGGCTCTGAGCTGGGGTAGGCTTGATTGTAGTGCCAGGAGATGCCAGCGCATTGCTAGCGTGTGTTTCGGGGGTCGCAGGGAGAAACGTTTTTTGAAGGATCTCAATGTTCTGAATGTAGCAGTTGTCACGGCTGGGGCCAAATTGGGAAGGCCTAAATGTGGATTGTAGTCCACACCTCCCAGTCGCGAACCATTTCAACTCACCCTCCCATTCCTTAGACGACATGTCCATCCTGGGCCTCCTGCAGTGCCACAATGATGCCACCCGAAGGTTGCAGGAACAGCACCTCATATTCCGCTTGGGAACCCTGCAGCCCAATGGTATCAATGTGGATTTCACAAGCTTCAAAATCTCCCCTCCCCCTACTGCATCACAAACCCAGCCCAGCTTGTCCCCGCCTCCCTAACCTGTCCTTCCTCCCACCTATCCCCTCCTCCCACCTCAAGCCCCACCACCATCTCCTACCTACTAACCTCATCCTGCCCCTGTCCGTCCTCCCTGGACTGACCTATCCCCTCCGTAACTCCCCACCTACACTCACCTTTACTGGTTCCATCCCCGCCTCTTTGACCTGTCTGTCTCCTCTCTACCTATCTTGTCCTTTATCCATCTTCTAGCCGCCTCCCCCTCTATCCCTATTTATTTCAGAACCCCCTTCCCCTCTCCCCATTTCTGAAGGAGGGTCTAGGCCCGAAACGTCAGCTTTCCTGCTCCTCTGATCCTGCTTGGCTTGCTGTGTTCATCCAGCTCTACAGCTTGATATCTCATGGTGGTGGAGTTGAGTTTGGGCCAGTGCAGTACCTGGCAGCATTGGTGGTGTCTGCATTGGCAATGTCCATCGAAATATCAACAGTGACAAGGACGTCAGTGGAAGCGAGATGGCACCAAAGAGTGGTGACTTTCATTCCAGCAGCACAACAAAGGAGACTTGTGTCTGTCCACCAGGCCGATGGGCCATGATGGAGAACTTAACAAGCAGGACTTTAAGGTTTGACACTATTTCTTTGTTTTTCTGCCTTGATATTCTATGTTTTGGTTTATTTTTCTGTGTTTCAAAATGGTGTCAGAGAGTGGCGACACTATACAACGCTTTTCATTTTTGTAACAAGATACACACAATAATAAATCAAATTAAATAAAAATCTTCATGGGCAGAGTTTGCCAGCAGTCACTGCCCACGTGCTAGAAACTTCCAGATTAATAATAATTAATTGACAGAATGCTAATTTCAAGGAAGCAATAATGGATCCAGGTCAAATAAATTGGAATCACAAGGGCTTGGGCTGACAAGTGGCATGTAATATTCATGTCACACGAATGCCGGGCAATGACCAGCTCCAAAAAGAGAGAATCAATGGTGTTACCATTACTGAACCCTCCATTATCAACATCCTTGGGGTTACCATTGACCAGAAACTCAACTGGACTCATCACATCAACACAAAGGCTACAAAAAATGTCTGAAGTTGGCGGTGGAGTAAGACTTCTGAGCCGGAGATCGATTGCTCAGTGTGTTTCTTTTCTTTCTTTTCATATTTTTTGTCTTTTTCTCTTTTTCCCTCACGTCCTTGAGCGACGTCAGCGATGTCTGGGGTGAAAGCCAGCACAGAACCCTGTCCTCAGCGCGCACTCAGACCCCCAGCCTCAGGGTGAAGCCTGTCGCGACCTGGTATGGCAGGACTGTTATTCTGAACTCTTATTTCTCTATTTTTTCTAATTTATTTCTCGACTTTTTATTTCTTTATTTTTCTGATTTTTTCCTCTTTAGAATTTGTACTTAAGAATCTGTACCTAGGTACCTTGTTACCTAAGATGGTGCCATAAGTGGCAACTTGTAAACCTTTCACTGTACTCATGTGAGTACATGTGACAATAAAGCTAACTCTTATTCTTCTTGCGAGAGCAGGTCAAAAGCTAAGAACACTGTGGTAAAGTAACTCATCTCGTGACTTGCTAAAGCCTGTCCAAAGGCACAATAGAATACTCCCCACTTGCCTGGATGAGTGCAGCTCCAACAACACTCAAGAAACTTGACACCATCCAGAACAATGCAGCCCCCTTAGCTGACACCACAGTCACAAGCATCCACCGTGGAAATTCAGATCCTTAGAAAGCACATTCCAAACCCACAACCACTTCCATCTAGAAGGACAAGGGAAGCAGATACATGGGAACACCACCGACTGAAAGTTCCCCTGCAAGCCAGTCACCATCCTGATGTGGAAATATATCATCAATCCTTCGCTGTCGCTGGGTAAAAATGCTGGAATTCCCTCCCTAAGGGCATTGTGGGTCAACCTGTCGCATGTGGACTGTAGCGGTTCAGGATGGCAGCTCACTCCCACCTTCTCAAGGGCAACTAGGGACAGGCAATAAATGCTGGCCAGCCAGCGATGTCCGTGCCCCACAAGTGAAAACAGGTAAGAAAGGAGAAAGGTAGGCAAACCAATCTAGGGCTCCTCAGTGATGAGATAAAGGTTAAATTGAAGGAGAAAATGTGTACTCGTGACAAATGTCAGGTGATAGTACAAAGAAAGACCAGGCGGAATATAGAAAGTTCAGGGGGCAAGTGAAGAAAGTAAGGACAGAGTATGAAAAAGAGACTTCCAGTTAATGTAAAAGAAAGTTCCAAAAAATCCTATAGGCATCTAAATAGTGAAAGGGTGGTAAAAGATGGAGTAGGGCCAATTGGGGACTGAAAAGGTAATTTACACAGAGAGGAAGGGAGGGACTGCAGCTGAGGTATTAATTGAATACTTTGCGTCTGTCATTACAAGGAAGGTGATAGTACCCAGCCTACTCTAAATTCATGTTATGTTTCTCACATTGGTCAAACATCCCATACCATTGTTGTTCAGAACTTACACATGGAGTGGGAGTGATACTGCTGCAACCTTCTGCTCATCTTTACACACCTCTGTGAAAGTCCTGCAGTCCTGTGGGAGAAACAGGACATTTTGTGTTCTCCTAAAATGGTTGCAAAAATACTGCTTCATATACAGTGATTCTTGTCCCCTTTTATTTTTTTCTTCATTTATTCATTCATGGGATGAGCGTGTTGCTGGCTAGGCCAGCATTTATTGCCCATCTCTAATTGCCCAGAGGGCAGTTAAGAGTCAACCACATTGCTGTGGGTCTGAAGTCACATATAGCCAGACCAGGTAAGGATGGCAGTTTCCCTCCCTAAAGTACATTAGTGAACTAGATGGGATTTTCCTGACATTTGACAATGGATTCATGGTCATGACTAGAGTCTTAATTTCAGATATTTATTGAATTCAAATTCCACCATCTGCAGTGGTGGGATTCGAACCCAGGTCCCCAGAATGTTATCTGGGTCTCTGGATTAACAGTCGAGCAGGGATACCACTAGGCCAATGCTTTCTCTTTTTAAGGTCCCTTAGGCCTTTAAATCCTTCAGCAGGACTTACTTTATACTGAGGGCCCAAAATATGCCTGGAGTCAGAGCATTCTGCCCTACCTTGTCATAATTTTGAAATGCTCAGGTAAATATAAATCAACTTCTGCTTGCTTTTGATTCAACAATATCATTTGTATTGTGAGGCTGCTGAAATGAATTTCACATCTCCCTAGCTTTAGTGAAGTTAATGAACTGTATCTATATACTGCTGACAGATATACAGCTGTGAGCATTAATACAAATCACAGTTGTACAAGAACAGAAAACCTGTTTAAAATAATTCAGCCAGTCTCAATAACAGATGTGAATCTGTAAATCTTGTACATTTCAAAATGGTCATCACTACCGTTTTTTTTTAAGGCCAAACACTTATAAATGAGTTTTCAATGTATTGTTTTACTCACGGTCTTTCTTTGCCTCCTGTTACAATTAGGCCATCTCGTAATGTGGTGTACATTGTGAAAACAGGCCCATTATGTGCTTTGGCTACAATTCGGACCAGAAGATGCTCTCTCCAAACATAAACATCTCCGCTGATTGTACCAGTGAATGTCAAATTATTCTGCAAGATGACAGACCGGTTTTAATATAGTGACTGAAAATAAATCGAGACATAGGGTGCAGGATTTATATATACATATTTAATATCATTTGTTTTAAGTTTGGATTTCAAATTAATGACATATTGTCTGTCACATTCTGTGTGTCTGAAGAGTTTAATTAACTTGTGAGTATTTCTGTTGCCATGGAGATTTCTTACAAAATAGTTTGAGTGTGCTAGCAGAGGGTGCAGAGGAGATTTACCAGGATGCTGCCTGGACTGGAGGGCAGGTCTTATGAGGAAAGGTTGAGGGAGCTCGGGCTTTTTTCATTGGAGTGAAGAAAGGTTTATAAGATGATGAGAGGCATAGAGAAAGTGGATAGTCAGAGACTTTTTCCCAGGGCGGAAATGACTATTATGAGGGGCATAATTTTAAGTTGATCAGAGGAAGATATAGGGGAGATGCCAGAGGTAGGTTCTTCACACAGAGAGTGGTGGGCATGTGGTGGGCATGTGGAATGCACTGCCGGCACGACATCGTGGGCCGAAGGGCCTATACTGTGCTATGTTCTATGTAATGGTGTTTTGTGTATGTTAGGTGTGTTAACAACTTGAGCAAGATAAACAATTGCACATCAAGGTTTCTGTTAGAAATTTCTGGACTTGATTTTCTTTAAGCTTGGGGAAGTACCCATAATGCAGAGAGCAAGACCTTTCAGTTTTAGGCAGTTCTGCAGAAATTGTTGGATGAAAATTGAAGTATAAAGCAGTGATCCTGAGAAAGGGAGATGGTGGTTAGATTTGTTAACACTAGATTAGCTTAGTGTAAGGGGTCTAGTGACAGTCCTAGGCCAGAAATATTTGGATAAAACCCTGAAGAGGTTATTTGAAGCCTAGAACATTTAAATTCGGACATATGAAAGTTCCAGGAAGAGATTATTAATTTTCCAGACTGGGAGTTGAAGTCACGGTTATCTAAGGCTTATTTTGAGGTGTTGGAGAGATTTCCAGTCTGGTGTGAGTGTGGTACAAGGGGTACTTTTGGCTACTACAAGATCTACAAAAGACCTACTTTTGATTTGATTTCACTTTAAAGTAAAATCTAACATGTGTCTGCACATGTACATGCCATGTCAGCATCAATTTTATTGTGAAAGTACTTACAGCTCCAAAAGCTACAGCAAGCATTGTTTGCATCCTAGCATTTTCAATTGAACTTAAGTTGCCTTTTTTGCTCTGTAAAGCTTTGCCAGCAAAAGTCCAAAACCGCACATGTTTCATTCCCACTGATACAAATTGCGTGTCTGAATCAGGCCTGAATTCTGCAACAAAAATTCTCTTGGTGTGACCACTTTTACTGGCAACTTTGGTACCTAGAGGAACAAAACAGGTAAAGATGATGCAAATAAAAGTCTGAAATATATTCCAATTCGTAATTAGCATACTAAAAGTTTTAATATTTAAACTTTGATATTTAAAATATGACAATGTAAATATAACCACTTGAAATGTATCCTTCTGTTATTTTCTTTAAATTCAAAAATTGTTGATCTGTTGACTCATGAAAATGTAATGATCAAAGGTAACTGGAATGATGATCTACATGTAACCTCTTGTTTCACCTCACCTTCTTGCCACCTCCAGACAGTGATGGTGTATTGAGGGTCTAGCCCTACTGAAAGGAGCAGTTTGCCCGTGGCACTAAAACTGACAGAGCAGACACCTTTTGAATGGTAACAACGGAGCACAGAATGTGTCTGCTTGGTTGTGGCATCCCAAATATGAATCAATGGGACAGCACCTGGGAAAAGAATACTACAATCAGTGATAAAATCTACTGTACCATTGCAAGGAATTATTATTCTATTCTGATCTTCAGTTCCAGAATAATTAATTTTTGAAGTGACTGTGTATGAAGGTTTGCTATAATAATAGTTGAATAAACTGCATTAACATAGTAAACACAAACACTAATTTTCTAAAATTAAGGTGTTTAACTCCAGTTTGAACAATTTTGTGTTTCAATTCCTAATATATACAATTAAAATTTTATACTTGAATATTTCACTACATTAAATATCACTGAAAATACTCACTAGGGAAGTACATCTGTCGTGCAAAATTTGTTTCAATTATTTTTAAATAATCTTATATTGGCATATTCTTACATGCTTTATGAAATCTCAAATCTTGAAATGCTGTTCCTGTGTTTAGCATCGGAAGTAGTGCAAATAATGAGTGCTAAATAGCAAACTAAATGCAACATAGAACTTAGAAGTGATTTTGATGTAGTGATACTTCTGCAATAACAATTCTTTTACGGTATTAGATAACATGATGATGTATTTCATTATTTTTATTGTAAGCCCTATCACCAGTATAACTAGAAAGAGCATCTCAGTTCAATAGTTTATAAGTCATGTGTTGGTAATCGGTTTATGCAGTGAACAGGAAAGCACAGGTTTTGTTAAAGCATTGACTGACTACAGCCAAGAGGGACATAAGAGTCATTAGCCAATGACATTTGAAAAATTGGCAGGTTTCATTAGACCAAATAATAGAATAATTTTACACCTTAAAGTTTGTTTTTATCAACATTAATTGTTTTCAAAAACATGATAACTTGCTTCATCAACCTGCTCCAACACCCTCCTGTTTTTGAGTTCTCCAATGCATGCTGACTTACAATTCCCAAATCAAAGCTTCTGGATTGCAAGGAATGTGAGTGATAATGAACAGCTATTGAAAGCAGACTAAGCAGTGAAACACAAATTATTCAATTATACACCTTCATGGGGTCTATCCCCTTTATTATATATATATTAAAAATATAGAAAAACATGGCAATTTCGACACCAGTCGGACACAACAAATTGTACTTATAAAGCATCTTTAACATCCCAACGCATTCACAAAAGGTAACAATGTTCCAAGTTTGATTCCATAGGTCTAACTCTTCTGTTGCATAGCATTTGTTAATACTCAAATAAATTCTTAAATTCTGTGATAGACAACTTTTGTTTTCAACTTTCCATTTGATGTATTTTAAGCAATGAAGCTACATAATCCTTCAAAATCTATTTGATTTATTATCAGCATTGTAACCAGGATTTAGCTGAACGGCAGTGATTTATTTAAAAAGCTCATTATGGTTCTTATTGCTGTCTGCTTCTTACATGGAAAATGAATATAGTATTCACTAATAATAAGACAAAGGACATTAGCTTCCAAAGATACCAGTGAAATTATATTTGATCTTAATGAATCATGGAAACCATTATTTGCAATTAACCAATCTAAGGAAATTACACAGAAACATTGAAAATAGGAACAGAAGTAGGCCTCTGGGCCCAATCAGCCTGCTCCACCATTCGACAGAACATGGCTGATCATCCAGCTCAGTATCGTGTTCCCGCTTTCTCTCCATACCTTTTAGCCCCAAGAACTATATCTAACTCCTTCTTGAAAAGATATAATGGTTTATCCTCTCTGTGGCAGAGATTCCCACAGTCTCACCACTCTATGGGTGAAGACATTTCTCCTCATCTCAGTCGTAAATGGTGAACCCCATATCCTTATACTGTGACCTCAGTCTGAATTACTAAACTTCAACTTTTTCTAATGTGTGAATGTTTCTTGGGCATACAATCTTTTACAGGCATAATCTATTGCATCTTGGGAATATTATTTATTATAAAAATATAGGTTACATTCTGCAATGTACTTGAAGTGAAGGATGTAGGCCAAATATTTTAGATTTCTTACCTGACATATCAGCAGAATCACCTTTAAGTTATATCACAGCCAAGGACAGAAACAAAATACAATACAAAAACAAAACAAAAATGATAAAAAAGCACAGTTAGAGTGAAACAGACTGTAAGTACTGGTAAATATTGGAAAGCATGCCTTCACTATAAGCTGTATCAATTGAAATAGTTTAGAATTAATGTTGCTCTTTCTGGATATCTATCAGTACTTAAAAATATACAATAAAAAAAAACAACACCAAAATGGTTACAATAAACAGATGTCAGCTCCACATGCAGGCCTGTGAACATATTTTTCATTGAAGGTTCTATGCATGCTACCACATTCCTGGATATCCTTATACGTCAAAAAATAATTTCCATGTCATTTTGGTTACAAAAATTGCAACAACGTTGCTTAGCTTGTCAAGACGAAGTTGCACTACAGTGTCAGACTCTCAGAATAAAGGATGTGTCATTTGGAGCTGAGATGGGTGAAATTTCTTCAGAGAGTTGTGAATCTTTGGAATTCTCGATCTAGGAGGGCTGTGGATCCTCAGTTATCAAGTATATTGAAAAAACAGATCAACAGTTTCTTGACCAGAAAGGGATGCAGGAATAGCATGGAAAAGTAGAGATAAAAGATCAGCCATTATCTTGCCGAGTGACAGAACAGGCTCAAATGATCTACCCCAGCTCTTTTGCATTGCAGCTAAGCCAATAGGGGTGATCCAGTGGAAACTATTTTTACTCACACTGTAGACAACTAAAATAATCTCAGATTGTTTACATCTCCAGGAAATAAATCTGTCTGAATTAATAATCTTATATTTGACAGTGTTTTATGATTGACCATCAAAAAAAGGTGGTTCTAATTTTACTGCCATCAACTTTGCATGTATGACAAAATCTGTAAAACAGCCAGCCATCCTACACTTTAATAATACACAGTTCACATTTAGCAGATAACTAGGCAAATCACTTGAGAAATAAAGAAATGTACCATTTTTGCAGCTGTGTAATCAGCAAATAAGAAACATTAATAAAATGGTCAAAAAACCTATTTAAAATTACTTTGACCCAGAAGACCCTAATGAACAGCATTCTTCTGAAAGTTGAGATGATCTTTCAGGTCAGGGAAGTGGACTGAAAGCTTTGCTAGAAAGAGGACAGATCAATTCTGCTTCTGGTAGACTGAAAGCCACCAGTGAAACTGATTAAAATATAAGACGATGTTGAAACAAAAATGACGAAGATAAAAATGTAGAGTACAATGTTTCTGACTGGTTTGAGCATTCAAAAGATAATACTGTAGCTCATTGTAATGAATGAAATTATGCAAATTTTAAGGTGGGGGTAACTTTCTCCAGTCATAATGAAATCAAAAATGTATTCTTCATACATGTGTAAAACTTTGTTACAAAATAAACAGGAAGAATTTGTAGTCAGTTAAGAATTCTAGATGAATGCCAAAAGAAGTTTAAATTAGAGTATGAATAAATAGTGATATTAGTCTGAGAGATAGTAGGAACTGCAGATGCTGGGGAGTCTGAGATAACAAGGTGTACAGCTGGATGAACACAGCAGGCCAAGCAGCATCAGAGGATCAGGAAGGCTGACGTTTCAGGCCTAGTTGTGAAGAAGGGTCTAGGCCCGAAACATCAGCTTTCCTGCTCCTCTGCTGCTGCTTGGCCTGCTGTGTTCATCCAGCTCTACACCTTGTTATATCAGTGATATTAGTCTGTCTTAATAGGGAGATGAAGGCTATATATTAATGCAAAGTTAGGTATCTTGGTATAAGTAACACTTAACATACATCACAATGAATCAATGACATAAGGCTGTGAACAACATTAATGGATAGGAACAAAAATAGAAACAAAAAACAGTTCTGAGGAAGGGTCACTGAAAGGTTAAGTCTGACTTCTCTCAATAGATGCTGGGAGACCTGCTGTTTTTGTTTCTGATTTACAACATCTGCAGTTTTCAGTTTTTAATTAATGGATAGGATTTTTATTTTTAAAAGCACACATGTAGAAACAGAAAAATGACAAATTGGCTCAATTCTGTTGAGAAGGTCAGGGGATCATACCTCACTCCAGGACTTCAGCACATATTTTGCTTTGATATTTTAGCCCAGTACAGAGGCAGTGTTATATTGTCAGAGGTGCTATCTCCTGGAGGAGATGGTAAACCAAGCACCTGTTCAGTTGGGCATAGAATATCGCAGAACACTAAAAGCAGCTGAGAATCTTTGGGCCAGCATACATCATCAAACCAAACTAAAGTAGATCTGATGTTTGATCTCCTTTATTGTTTGTAGAATGTGCCTGTGCAAACTGGTTGCCACACAAGTCAACATAATAATACCTACACTTTACAAAATCACATGTAATCTGTGAAGAGCTTTGAGATACTACAAGGATGTGGAAGGTGCTGTATAAATGTAGAATCTTTTCTTCTTGAGGACAGGTTAAGAAGAAAGAGAGACCTAATGATTATATTCTACAAATTATGACAGTAAGACAAAATTTGTTGAGATTATGTCATTAAACTCATGTTAATGTATATTGTTGTAACATTTTTAAAATAAAATGCACTCAATAGGAGTAACACAGGTGAGCAGCAAACCAAAGCAGTTATCTTGATACAAATCAAGAGTTTCAGTAGTGCAATATGTCCAATGGTTTGACTTAACTCAAAGTGCTCGTTGCATTTTTACAGTTTCTTGCTCGATTTCTCTGCCTCTAAATCTTAAGGCCAGGTCTTCCCTCTCCAGGACTGGTGCTACAGGACTGCTAGATCACATATGGTTTTCTAGGGTCAGACTGGTCTCCTGGCAATATGCATTTATAAACTGGTTGTAAAGTAGTAAAATACTCCAAGATGCTTCTTCACAGGACTATTACCAGCAACATTTGACATTGAGTCAGACAAGGAGACATTAAAAGCAAATTATCAAAATCTTATTAAAAGTGGTAGGCTATAAGAAGCATTGAGTCACACAGCATGGAAACAGGCTCTTCAGTCCAACCAGTCCATGCTGAACATAATCCCCAAACTAAACTAGTCCCATATTCCTCCAAACTTTTTGCATGTATGTACTTGTCTAAATGTTTTTTTAAACATTGTAATTGAGCTCACATCCACCACTTGTTCAGGAAGTTCATTCCACACATGAACCACCCTGTAAAAAAAATTGCCCCACGTCTTTTTAAAATCTTTCTCCTCTCACCTTAAAAATGTGCCCCCTAATCTTGAAATCCCCCATCCCAGGGAAAAGACGCCTACCATTAACCCTATCTATGCCCCTCATGATTTTATGAATATGTACAGTCATCTCTCAACCTCCTATGCTCTAGTAAAAACTGTCCCAGCCTTTCTCTATAACTCAAAACCTTCCATACCTGGCAACATCCTGGCACCATGTTAGAGAGAGGTAGTGAGGCTAACGAGTTTAGGGGTGGTAACCCCACTGCTTTCCACTTGGGCATCTGAAAGCAATTGCCATCACTGGTAGATTGATTAAAATGTACAGAACTGAGGAGCGCAGATACCCTTGAGGATGTAACACTGGAAAAAATTAAAGGATGGAAGATTGGGTAAGGGATTGGAAATAAAAGAAAGAGGTATGAGGGGAAAGGAGAAGGAAGAGAAAAATTAAGGAGGGGAATGTAGTTGGAGGAGGGGAGTCAGGCTAAAGGAGGAAGTAAGGCGTGGAGTAAGAGGACAAAAAGAAGAAGGGAGGGATTGCCAAGGTGTTACTTTCTTTTTCGCAGGGGTTTGAATCAAACCAGTGTGAGGGAACACAGGAATACATAAAATGTTAGATGTTTCACTGCAGCTATTTGTCTTTTGGCAGTTAAGACATGGAGACCCAAGTATAGATATCGCAGCTGCATACAGAATTAATACCATTTTAAAATGATTTATGCAGACCAAACTGTGAATTCAAGATCTGTGAATACTTTGCTTTCTTTTTAACATATTATTTTCACTGCCAGTAGCTTCAGCAGAACAGTTTTTTTTTGGTAGCTTACAAGATTCTAAACAATATACCTAGAATGTGTGAAGATAATTGAAACATACCACAGCAATTGAACTAGTTTGTATTTTTAGAAAACTTGGATAGGCTACTAACACGAAGTATTTCAACAAAAAAAATGTTTGTGCGTCATTGTTTTTGACCAAATGTTACCATAAAGTATAATATTGTACCTTTAAGGTGTTTTCTAAATACAAAATGTGATACATTCTGTGAAGGATTATTTCTTTTCCAAAGGAAAATTACTGCCTTGACCTCTGATTAACAAAATGAGATCAGAATCTGATGTTCAGATAGTCGCAAAAGAGATGACAAAAAAAATACAAGGACAGGTTAATAAGTGATATATTCTCTCAATCATCTTTGTACATACCAACTTGTCCAGTTGCTATTATCTTTTGGAATTTGGGATGTTGGTTAACCGTTAGGCACAGGATGTCTTCTGTATGTTCAAGATAAAAAGACTGAAAACCTAAAGTAAATTGCAAGTGAAAGAAATAAGCTTTAATTCAAACTTTTCTTGAAACGTGAAAAATAAATTCATTATAAATACACTAAAAGCAGCCATTGTTCATTACCTCAAGAAGGGGGATAAAAGGAATACTGGTCTCTTAGGAACCATTAGTGCTCTATTTTGGTCAAGCTCACTCATTATGTACAAAACAACTTAATCTCCCTTATTTTTGAATATGCTGTCTGTACATAGCCAGAAAAAACAAAATTCAGCCTTTTGCAATTTCTTTCTCCAATGGAATCAGTCTGGCTGAGTAGTAACCAAGTTAGAAAGTTTTGTGACACATTTTGACAACTTTTCTTTGGAAACCTTGTGTGATGTTTTACTTTTGTGAGAAATCAATGCAACTTTGCTTCACCTGATATTTAAAATTGCTCGAGTGTTGGATAATCAACCATTTGTCAAGGCACATTTTTCATCTCCAGCTCATACTAATGTCAAAGTTTTAAACTGTATCAACCTTGTGATGAGGGAAGATTTTCACAGATTTAAAGCTGCACTATATTTACTGTGAGCACTTAATGCAGTAAATTCTGATAGTTTATAGGAGTTATAGGATTGGGCGGCATGGTGGCTTAGTGGTTAGCACTGCTGCCTCGCAGCACCAGGGACCCAGGTTCAATCCCACCCTTGGGCAGCTGTCTGTGTGGAGTTTGCATATTCTCCCCGTGTCTGCATGGGTTTCCTCTGTGTTCTCCAGTTTCCTCACACAGTCCAAAGATGTGCAGGCTAAGTGGATTGGCCATGCTAAATTGCCTGTAGTGTTCAGGGATGTGTAGATTAGGTGGGTTAAGGAGGATGGGTCTAGGTGGGATGCTCCAAGGGTCGGAGTGGACTTGTTGGGCCAAAGTGCCTGTTTCCACACTGTAGGGATTCTATGATTAAAAGAGAAAGAGATATCAACTAAATCTACCATCCAATGATCCTTTGATTTTCTTTTGTTGCTGCCTATTCACTTAAGTGTGGGTCCTTTTTTTTTGTGTGACTGCAAGCATGCAGTTTAAGGGTCAATTTGTGTTTGGGTGCATAGGAACCTTGGGGTTGTTGTGTAATGGCATACCTTAGAAGGAACGCTGCCACCAACCCTCTACTCCACTGAATTTCTTAAACAAGTCTTCAGAACTATGATGTGACACTCCCAGAAATGACACCAGGATGATGCCTGCTTATCCTAGCGAAATTCTCAATTAGGATAACATGCCTCATTTAAACATACCCAGTTTCTAGAGTGGATATCAGGGATTCATAGGTGTTGGTATCCAGTATTGATACTGGTGGAAATACTAAGGGAAATATGTTGTATGATGCTGATTCCTGATAGTGGGCATGTTTGTGTTAATGCATTTTGCCTATATTGAGCTGTCCTTTGTTGCAATGTGCATTTGTATGCCTCAAAGATTCCAGACAAACCTTGTCCAGCAAAGTCTTGGGGAATTTTGCAACCTATAATAATGATTAATATCAACTCCTTCCAGCGTTTCCTGCAATATGGGACAATGAAAAAGAGCTTAAAAAATAACAAGGGGTTGATTTCAGCTATTAAATTTTCAAAAATTAATGATAGATAATTATATTTTGAAAAACATGTGAGCAGGTGTTGAACTACCCACAGCAATTGGCATGGCTAATATGGTTTACACATCAAATTGTAATATATTAACAACATTTGCTTGACTCAAGGATAAATTATTGGCTTTCTGGGATAAATAGTGGTAGAATAAGTGATGGGAAAGTAGTAATAGCATTTAAAATTGCACAGTAATCTGCCTTCACAGGTCCCATTTTGTATCTCTTCACTGCCTTCTTGGGTCCCAAGAATTCTTGAGGCGATGGTTTGTTTGCCATCTCAATGCAGTCAATAAACTAATAATATTATCCATTAATAAGGTACCATATATACAGTGCTAAAAAAGAGACTAAAGTTGCAGCACTAGGATTTTATTCCTTAAAAAGACAATTATCCAAAATAGAGTCATACAGCATTGAACCTTTGGCCCAACTTGTGCATGCCGACTACATTTTCCAAACTAAACTAGTCCCACCTGCTCATGTTTGGCCCATATCCCTCTAAACCTTTCCTATCCATGTACTTATCCAAATGTCTTAAATGTTGAAATTGTACCTGCATCTACCTCTTCCTCTCGCAGCTCATTCCATATACGAACCACTCTCTGTGAGAAAGAGTTGCCCCTTAGGTCCGTTTTAAATTTTTCCACCTTCTCCTTAAAAATATGCTCCCTAGTTTTGAACACCGCACCCTAGGGAAAATACCTTCACTATACACCTTACCTATGCCCCTCTTGATTTTATAAACTTCTATAAGGTCAACCTCCTACACTCCAGTGAAGAAAGTCCCAGACTATCCAGCCTCTCCTTATATCTCAAATCCTCCAGATCCAGCAACATCCTGGTAAATCTTTTCTGAACTCTCTTGTGTTTAATGATATCATCCCGGTGGCAGGGTGACAAGAACTGTACACAGCACTCCAGAAGAGGCCACACCAAAGTCCTGGACAATGTCAACATGACATTCCAACTCCTATACTCAAAGGTCTGAACAATGAAGGCAAGCGCGCTAAATGCATTCTTAACTACCTTGTCTACCTGTGATTCAATTTTCCAAAATTCGCTGGACTCTGGGGCAGTCCTAGCAGATTGGAAAACAGCAAATGTGATGCCACTGTTTAAAAAGGGAAGTAGACAAAAGATGGGGAATTATAGACCAGTTAGCCTAACCTCTGTAGTGGGGAAAATGCTTGAGTCTATTATCAAGGAAGAAATAGCAAGGCATCTTGATAGAAATTGTCCCGTTGGGCAGACACAGCATGGGTTCATGAAGGGCAGGTCATGCTTGACAAATCTCTTGGAATTCTATGAAGACATTACGAGCGAGGTGGACAATGGGGACCCAGTGGATGTGGTGTACCTAGACTTCCAAAAGGCCTTTGACAAGGTGCCGCACAAGAGGCTACTGCATAAGATAAGGATGCATGGCATTAAGGGTAAAGTATTAGCATGGTTAGAGATAGTGGGAACTGCAGATGCTGGAGAATCCGAGGCAACAAGGTGCAGGGCTGGATGAACACAGCAGGCCAAGC